CACACACACACACACACACACACACATACACACACACACACACACACACACAAGCACACACAATCAATCAATCAATCAATCAATCAATCAATTATCTGATTTTTATATATATATATTTTTATTATTATTTTGTTTTCGCAGGATCTCGCCGCTGATCTCCGACCCCCTCTAACAGCAACCAAACTACTTCTCGGCCAGAGCGGGCGCAATCCTGACCGCTTCGGTCGCGTCGCCAACCGTGCGGGCAAAGCCACGACCGTGGCGGACGAGTTCACAACCGCGAGGTCGCGACGGGACTGGAGTGGGCCTCGGTTCTCGGCCACGTTGGCGTCCGGTGCACCCGGGGCGGGGAGGGGCTCTCGGACGCGGGGAGTACGACATCGACTGACTTCAACGACTCGACGGGCGACATCACAGAGCGACATCAGCACATAGGCTAGTGCGGACGAGTCATTCGTTCACAATGAGTCGGAGGGGGGGTGGTTCTAGGGGGGCCGGTGGTTCAGGGGGGTCAGATTTTATCCATGTTTCTGATGCTGAGATGACCAAGCTGAGGAGGGCCTCATGCGTTTGGAAATACGTTACGTTGGGGCAACAGGTAGACTCGTGGGAAAAGATGCACGGTGACCGCAAGTTGTGATGCAACTTGTGCAAGCACCTGTGGCAGGGGAACCAATCGAAGGCCGCGAGGCACTTCTGCCAGTTGAAGAAGTGCCGTGTTGCGGAGTTCGATGTGCTTGTTGACATTTGGAACGGCACGGACTACAGATTCGAAGAATGACATCACACATCCATTTGCGCATACATGGAGGAGCACGGCATCAGCGACTCCCGAGCAGTTGCTGAAGGTTGTACAGGAGCAGATCCTTGCACTGCACGCAGGGACGACGTGCAGGACGTGCTTGGCGAGATGGAGGAGCGGGAGGGGGTGGAGTTGCTAGGGGAGGAGGTCGTGATGATGTCGCGTGGGGAGGACCTTGAGATCCGAAAGGGGAAGAGGCCAATGGGGGAGACCGACCAGGCAGCGACCCGACTGGGGAAGAGGGTCCGCCAGTCCAAGATCGACGATGTCTACACTGCGGACAAGCAATCGGTCTTCAACGACAAGTTTCTGCAGTGGATTTATGACTCTGGCATTCCGTTCAATGCGTACAAGAGGCAATCGTGGAGGGAGGTCCGGAAGGCGGCGGATTAGCTGCCTAGAGGAGTGCGGATGCGATTTCCTGCCTTTAAGGAAATCGGTGGAGATGGAGTGCCCGAGCAGAGGGCGAAGGTGGCGGCTTTATTACGGGAGGTCTGAGAGTCGTTCAATCACAGCAGCGCCACCATCTTGTCAGATGGTCGGAAATCGCATGATTCTCGACCCATCGTGAACTTCCTTGCTGTGGGTGCCACTGGCGCCCTACTCTACGCCACCATTTGCCGCGACGGTTCTGTACAGGAGACGGGCGCCATTGTCTTCCGCAGGTGGAAGGCCATCATTGAGTCCTTCCCTGCGAAGGATGTCATAGCTTTCTGTACAGACTCCGCTAGTAACTACACAGCGGCCACCCGTTTGCTCGCCACAGACCCTGATCCAGTGGTCCGGCGCACCAATTGGCTCCCCTGCTTGACCCATGTCTGCAACTTGATGTTGTCAGACATAGGGACACGAGTGGGGTGGGCAGTTGACACCATTATCCGTGGACGAGCGATGGTGCGATTTATTAAATCGCACGGCGCAGCTCTCGCCCTTTACAAGAAGAAGAGCCCGCGCGTTTCGGTTGTGCAGCTAGTTGAGACTCGCTTCGCATCAGTTTTCATGATGTTGACTTGTCTCCTTGAGAGACGCGACTCACGAGAGGCGATGTTGCATGACAACGCCTGGGCGAGTATCCCGTGGGAGCGGAGACTGCTACCCCAGGCGAGATGGGTGCGTCTCCAGATCCGAGATGGCGAGTTCTGGCGCTATGTTGAGTTCTTAATTCTTGTGATGAAGCCCATCCATCAGCTGCTGAGGCGGATGGACAGAGGAGGGATGATGATGTCCATCGTCTACGAGTGGAGTCGTCATCTCGTTCAACTTCTGACGAAGCTGGACGTTGTGCTGGTCGATCTTCTGACCCCGTGCGTGCGAGAGGTCAGGATGCGGCTCATGCATTTGTTGGAGCCCGCGCACGCTGCCGCTCATCTCCCAAACCCTCGTCGTCGGTCTTTGAGGTACTATGCGTCCCTCCACACCACGACGGAGGATGCGGAGGTTGTACATGAGTGTGATTGTTTTCTCCTTGCACAGACTGGAGGTGATCCCACCAGCAGGGATTACCTCGTTGTTCGTGACCAGATGCGTCAATTCCATGCGTGCAGTGGAGACTGGGGTGACAGGCTGGTGTCGGATGCCGAGGCGGAGGGTTGCCATGGGGATCAGGAGACGCACCATTGCGTGGTGTGGTGGTTTGCCCACGGCACTGCCCACCGAGAGTTACGTGCTATCGCTATCCGTGTGATGCACATGTGGACGTCAGCCTCTCCCGCGAAGAGGAATTGGGCGGCCCACGAGCGCATTCAGACAGCAAAGCGGAGCAACCTTGGCTTCGCCAAGTTGGCACAGCAGGTTGAGATCACTACAAATCTCAAACTGGCTTCATGCAGGTAGCAGGGTGGCGGCTATGTGCTTCCGTGGGTCATGGATGGTGTCGACACCGAGAGATGGCTGCCGGATGAGGACGAGGATGGCGGTGACCCTGAGCCTTACGTGTGGGGGGCTAGACCTATTGGTACGTTCACCGACCGGGAGATCAGGAGGCAGATCGATGTTTTTCACAAGGACGGCACAAGCCGTCCTCGAGAGGTTTCTGCCGTATTCGGGGATCGGGCGGCCACTCTGCTCCCTTTCGACCATGTGCCTCCTCCTCCGTCCCGGGGAGCAGGAGAGGGTTCCGCGGCAGCCGCTGAGGACGGAGAGGACGATTGGACGGACGCAGAGGATGTGGAGGGGGGCACAGACAGGACGGCGGAGCAGGTGTACTTCACGTACGGGGGCGGGTCAGACGGGCATGCTCCGCGGACGTCTGTCATCACGGACGATGTCGCCGGCGGGGCACAGGGTAGCGCCACTCGACACCCTCCAGCGGGTCGAGGTCGTGGCGCCGTTGCTCGCGACGTTCACCCCCACGCGAGGAGAGTTCTTGGGGTGGAGTCGAGTGACGAGGACGAGGGCGTGGCACCTCACGCTGACCGCCTGCGAGACCCTCGGTTCGATCCGAGCCACCACTCCAGGGAGCATTCAGAGCAGCTTCGTCGGTCACACAGGTTGGCAGAGCGTAGTGTTCCGACGTCCGAGCAACCTCAGGACATACCGGTCGCAGAGGGGACACCGTCACACAGCGGCCCTGCTCAGGCTGCGACATCCTCTCTGCGCACCAGCGATTTCGATATCACGGGTTCGCATGGGGGCTCACCTGTCTTACGATGCAGAGTCCATGACAGAGCGGATTACAGTACGGATGTGAGGGAGAGGGAGGAGACTGTTGAGGAGAGGGATGCCCGCTTGGATCGCGAGGAGGAGGCACGGTTACAGTGCATGCCTCGATGGGAGGGCAGAGAGGCGTATGAGGCCGAGCAGCGGAGGCAGAGGGAGTTAGAGACGATAGGAGCGGGTCCGCCATCGAGCATCAGACGTATGCCGATTTCTGACACGATGCAGCCTCCCTCTGGGCCCTCTCATGTTGTGGGTGGTGGTGCTGACACATGCGGATTGGACGCTAGAGGTGGGGGGTAGGCAAATGTGCCATGCAAGGGTGGTCATGTCGGGGGTGTCGAGACAGTCGGAGCAGACACAGTAGCGGAGAGCTTCGACGACGACGAGGAGTGTGTGGTCGCCGAGGCTATCGTAGGCGACGTCGTGATTGGCATATGCGTGGCTGGCAGAGATGGAGGGACTCATGGAGGGGAGGAGGGGATGGTGGACGAGGGCAGTGTGACTTTGCCTCAGGAGGAGTTGGTGGACGAGGGGAGTGTTCCTTTGCCTCAGGAGGAGTTGGACGAGGGCGATTTGGCTTTGCCTGAGGAGGAGTTGGTGGACGAGGGCCGTGTCCGTTTGGAGGGTAGTGTGCCTTTCGAGGCTTTCGTTGATGGCGCGACAGAGGATGACGAGGAGGGAGCAGCGGTCGACGCCGGCCACAGTGCCCCGTCCGTGCGAGATGGCGTGACCGGAGGGCATGTTGAGGAGGAGGGAGCAGCCATCGACATGTCCCTCGCGATTATTGTTAGACCCCCGTCGGTGCGAGATGTCGAGAGAGGAGGGCATATTGACTCGGGCGGGCCGGGCTCTTTCTCTGCAGGTGGGCAGTTTGGGGAGATGCCTCAGTGGGATGGCGGGGAACCGGGGGAGTGCACTCCGACCCCATTACATCCGGAGCAGCTAGAGAGGTTGGGGACAGAGGACCCTTTCCCGTTCACCGGTGGTCAGCCCTCCCCTCCCCCGTGGGCTCCAGTGAGCCCTAGGTGGACCGGATCATCGCAATCCGACATCCACGAGCGGGAGTCTTTGGAGAGACAGGCGGCAGTGTTTTCAGGCGGGCCTGGCAGCAGCCATGCGCAGCCACTGACGCGCCCTGTATCTCGAGCATCGCAGCAGGGATGAGTACCGGCTGCAGGTCTTCCACCGATTGGAGGTCGAGGCAGCGGGCGGGGATCTTCTTCGAGTCATCGAGGTGGCGTTTTAGGGGGGTGGTCGTCTTGTCGGCGAGTGACGGACAGTCTAAGGAGGGACTACGATAGAGGACGGGGGCTATTCGCACGAGGACCATCGGGGGAGGGAGATCCTGCAGCGAGTGCGAGTGAGGCTGGACGACCGAGTGTCCACACAGCAGGACGTATAMTCGGATTGGATAGAGTCRAGACGAGGAGGRCAGAGAGGTTGGAGGTTTATCCGGCTCGATCAACCATTGACGACAGACGGCAGGGACTGCCGTACACATCGGGTGAGGAGGACTTGCATATGCCACAGGGTTCGAGACGTCATGGCTCGATCAGGGATCTTGATGCGGAGATTGCTGCTGACCAGCAGCGGTTGGCGGACCTCATTCGCGAGCGTGAGAGGAGGTCGGAGACGAAGGCACAGGCTGAGGAGGCTGACACAGAGACTGAGCCCATCGACACATCTATGCGGAGAGAGAGGCATCGGAGAGTAGCGTCCGCGACAGGCTCACACGCACCCGTAGGGAGACAGGGAGCACCACATGGTAGGGGTCGGAGTGGGCAGAGAGGAGCATTGGCAGGGAGAGGGAGTGCAGCACGTCATAACACTCATTCTAGGCGCGGCAGCAGGGGTTAACGACTTGTGTAGCATGGCAGATCAGTTTTGTACTTTCATGTTTTACACGACAGGAGTTAACGACTTTGTGTAGTAGGGCGGATAAGTTTTGTACTTTCATATTTTTTTATATTATCTTTATTTTATCTGTACATTACTTTCATGTTCTTAGTTGTTAGGTTTCAGAGTTGCTCTACGTTGTTAGTTTTGCTGTGCTATGTTTCCATCATGTTAGGTGTCAGACTTGCTCATGGTTGTAGTATTTTTTTCCTACACTGCGACACCAGTTTTGGTTTTCTTGGCCAGGTTGTCATATTGACTTTGTTCACATTTTGTCATAGATACATTACGTTTGTCAGTGCTATGTTTATATCATGTATTGGTGTTTCTGTGTGTGTTGTATTGTCCTTATGTCTATCAAACCCTATCCCCTCCCAGTTAATGTCCCTCCCCAACTGCCTTTCAGCGAATGAGCCCTCTCTTTCTGCCCCCTCCCAATGAATGACATCCACCAACACCCCCCCAACGAACGACTCCCCGACCAAATCAAACCCCCAAAACCTTCGCTGAACAAAAGGAAAAAAAACATTTATGTGTTGTGAAAGTGGCACCCCCAAAACCCTCTACCCCACCCCCCCCTCTACAACCCGTAAACCACCCCCTCCCCAAAAAAAAAAAAAAATTGTTCTCAGCGTGTCCGTGAAGGGGACCCCACTTAACCGAAGCCTGCGCCGGCGAAATTCAAAAAAGGGGGTCCCTTATTTTTTAACCCCCCCTTAAACATACCCCAATTTGGACCCCCCCGTTTTTAACTTTTTTTCATTTTGTTCTTTGCGGGGGTGTCTGGCCCTGCTCGCGCCCCCGGAATCCCGACCTCGACTACCGGTACCCCCTCCCCCGCGCCCGCGGCGCGCCCTTTTTGACCGCGACCGCGGTGGCCGCGGTCATGCCCGCGGTGACCGCGGCCGCCGGGGATACATAGCCTCTGAACGCGAACATAAAAAATAATAATTAAAAAAAAAAACAAAGTTCTCAGAAAAATCTGAAAAACAATATATATTATGTAAAACAACAATACAAGCAACTTTTGCCTTGGAGTCATGTTCAAATTTGTAGCCAATCATGAGTTAAAAATCCTAAACCGAAAATATATATATATATCGTCACAAATAGATATATATATTGTTTTTTTTTACGGAAAAAAAAATATGTTCGCCCGAACATGTTCGCAAGCAGTTCGCGCGAACGCGCGAACACGTTCGCCCGAACGTGAAGGGGCGCGAACACGTTCGGCGTGCTACGCAGCCCGNCCCCCCCCCCCCCCCTTTAAACATACCCCAATTTGAACCTCCCCATTTTTAACTTTTTTTCCTTTTTTTCTTTGCGGGGGTGTCTGGCCTTGCTCGCGCCCCCGAAGTACCGACCCCGACTTTCGGCACCCCCTCCCCCGCGCCTGCGGCACGCCCTTTTTGACCGCGACCGCCGAGGTCGTGACCGCGGGTCCGCGGTCGGCCACGGTGGCCGCGGTCATGCCCCCGGTGACCGCGGCAGCCGGGGATACATAGCCTGCAATCACATCAAAGATTCAACAAAGGTCCACGCACTACACGGGGTCAACTTCAACCATTCTCTATGCTCATACCCTTTGCTTTAGCCATACAAACCTCACTCTTGTGCAACTCCCCCCAAAAAAAATACTCAGTACTTTAGGTAAATGACCATTCAATAAAGTCCGGGTGAAAACACAATTAAACAATTCAAACCACAGGGCTAAAGCCTTTAGGTTGAGTGACAAGAGTCGATTGGAGTTGAATCACGAACCGACGAATCGGCAACCGACTTGTTATTAGTGATAACAGAAGATGATCCTTGTGGATTAGGCTGAAACTAGTCCAAGTCCTGAATCAAATGGTCAAGAGGACCTGTAACACAAGATAGGTCAATCCCCAGGCTAAACCAATAAGTCAATGGAGAATAATCTCCACACCATGATCTCACAAAAATCGCTTTACTTAACTAAGCCTGAATCTACTTCTAAGTCAGTGCCCAAACCAAAGGTAGAGCCTGACATAATCTTCCCTACACAAGGTGGATTGCCAGAATCGCTACCTGTCAAAATATAACCTATCTCCTTTAAACTAAAAACATTTCGGCAGCGCTTCCTGCAGGAAAAGTGCCTTTTCAGAATTTATATCAGCCCGAATATGAAAACAGAAATAGTCTTTGAGTTTCCAAAGTTCAATTTTGTCTAACTCCCTAAATTAGCAAAAATTTGGGCAACACTCCCCTTAGAAAAGGAGACTTTCCATATTTTTACTAAGCCATATATGAACTTTAGACAAGTTGAACTTTGAAAAGTCAGAAAGTTGACTAACTCCTTGGATTTGCAGGAATTTCGGCAGCGCTTCCCGTAGAGAAAGTAGCTTACCAAAATTTATACAAAGGCAAGTATAACAAAAAACTCCTAGAAAATGCAGAAATTGACCTAAATAAAAATGAAGTTAGCTCAGAAAATGCAAAAATTGAACTAACTCCTATCGCTCTAGCACGTGGCGAGCAACTACAGCAACTACCTGTCAAACTGAAACTCAGACCAAATAGTAGCCTCACTCGGTCACATGCAGGCCAAACCACAAAGGTAAGTACTCTCACCATCCCCAAGTCAACTAAGAAGACAATAGCTCATAATCTTTCAATGCTTTAACCCTTTAGACCCCGCTTACATAAGACGTAAAGTCAGACCATTCAATCTTATGGAACATGCTTGACTCAACTATTAAGTATACACAAACAGGTTGCACAACTACTTTTCTCTTCCTTTGCGCACATGACTAAGTCACTCATCTTAGAAACAATGCCTAGTCGCCCTGAACTGTTTAATATCCAAGTTATATATGCCTCTCTGAACTTAGTGTTCAAAAGTTGGGCGTAGGACTGAGTCATTCATCTTAGAAACAAAGCTCAGCCTGCCCAAAGTTACCTTCAGTTATATTCTTAATTATACTCTCTTCACGTTTATGATAAGCTATAGTCAGGCCACCCAATCTTATGGGACCGTGTCTGACCAGCCTGTTCTTAAGTAGAATAATAATAAAATATAGCCAAATTATAACCTTTTGGGTTCCAGCATGTGCGAGGCATTGGGTCAGACCATCCAATCTTCTGGAACATGTCTGGTCCTCCGCAAGGTTCATTTCTCTCTGATCCATCTGTGTGCGGCATGAGTCCAAAACTATCCAATCTTATGGAACATGCTTTGTCCGCAGCAGAAATTACTCCCTCAGAATAAAACAAACAAAAAAAATTGAGCCATTCATCTAAGAAATAAAACTCAACCTTTTTTTTCTCAGCACAAAAAAAAACAGAGTACTCTGAGTTAAACCCAGAGACTGTTCAGAAACCTTCCCGAAATAAACACCGACCAGACCATCAAAACTTATGAAAAATGCCTGGATCTCAAGTTTGCACAATCAAAACCCCACAAAACAAATAGCCTGACCATTCATCTTAGAAACAAAGCCTAGCGAAATTAAATAAACACAACGACCAAGCCATTCATCTTAGAAACAAAGCTTGGTCTTTTCAGAAAATAGAATAAACACAGCAGCCAGGCCATCCAAACTAATGGAACTATGCCTGACTCTATAAGACCCTTCCAATCTCAAACAAAACCACCTTTCTCCCAAGTTTCCCCCTGATGCAATCCCTTGTAACAATCTGCTTTCAGGCAGTAAAAAAACTGAAATTGTCATTACACACGCATTCCTTTACTTAGTCTGGTTTGTGTCTTGACATTCAAAACAAAAGTCAAAGTAGGGGTGCATGCAATGTACTCAATCAAATACAGACGGATGTACAGATAGGGGTTATACTTGGGTATACAGAGGGGAAACAATAGTTACCTTTCAGTTCCCTGCCTCCAGAACTCCTCCTGGGTTCCGATAGAGCTCCCGCGGTTGGCGCGAATACCCTTACAAGGGTATCCGCCACGGTTTTTGCAAGTGACAGAAAGACGCGGTTAACCTGGATTTGAGGGCCCGTGTGGGAAATGTGAGGGTCGCACGCACGTGGGCAAAGGGCCGCCTTGTCCCGGTAGGGAGTATGTGGGCGCGCAAAGTTAAGGGGCGCGTGTGATTTTTATGATTGAATGGGCGGCCGGGGTAGCCGACCAGCCCGGACCGAGTTACGAGGTTGGTCAGGGATAAAAGTCTGCTCTCCTCCCTTATTTTTGATCGGCGCGCGTGACCGGCGGTGGGACTGGCGCGCCGACAGGCGTACGGGACGGCCACGGTGCGGGGTGGTAGGCCGGTGTGGGCACCTAGGGGCAGTTGGTACAAACGTGGGCTGAAAAGAGTGGTCAAGGCAATATCGTAGTCCGGAGTGCCGTGTGGTACCGTTTGTATGGGAGG